CACTGTATGTAGGTTTGGTGTCATCTATGGCTTCAGACATCTGTGGGTCTCATAAAATGTCTGTGAGCTCCTGGTCACGTGCCCCCTTGGCACACTTCACCCCATTGCACAGGCTGACCTGAATTGATCTCAGGATGGGTCCCCTCCCTTGCGTTCCTTCCATGTCAGTGATTCTCAGCCACCAACATTTTCAAGAAAAGCCACAAGCCCAACTGCTCCTGCCTGGTAAGCACCATATCCCTAGATGCTGACCCAGTGCTCTCAGCTTCCTGGGTTTCAACTGATAGTTAAACCAGAAAGAAAAAATACACACATATACCCATTAAAAAAGAAAAGAAAAAAACTGAAAATATATGTAATGAGTGATAAAAGATTATAATACAAAAGATACACAATAAGAGGCAAAAAAATCAATGGAAATTCTCCTTTCTTACAAAGGAGACTGAACTTTCCCATAATCTACACTCTTGGAAAAACAAAGAGCATTTCAGTAAATTATGTGAAATTCAGGGCATGGATTATTGTGGGGGTTTCTTGGGTGAACTTAAGGAAAACTACATCTAAAATGAAAATAGTAAACTGTATCTAAGACCAGAGAAAATATTGTACAGAACATGAAAGGGTAAAGTTTCTAAGCTGCCAGTCATCCTAAAGTTCCTCTGCTACACCCAGAACCTGAAATTCCTGAGATAGTTAAGACAACGCCCTACTGGCCATTTAGCCTAGGGCCCTGTGCAGCTTGAAACGTAGGCATACAGGGCCCGAACCAATCAGTTTGAATGTGTACCCCGCTTAGGAGTGACCAATCACCCCCACCCAACCTGTTCCCGCCAATGAATGTGCTAATCATGTATGAGTTGTTGTTCAATTTTCCCGTGCCTCATGCTGATTTGTTCTGATGTATTCAAAGCCCCCGCCCTCCCCAAAAAGTGTACTTAAGCACTGCTTAGCCTCTGCTCTGGGCTCTGGGCTGCTCTTGCTTCTTGAGTGAGCCTAGAGCCTCAGCGCCGCTGAATTGGATCCTCATTAAATCCCCTTCTGCATTTGCATAAGTCAGTCTCTTGGTGGTCTCTTTCTCCAACTTTTCCCTGGACCCTTACAAACAGAGAGAGTAGAGAGAGCATTTATGTTACTCCCAAGTTTCATAAGCTAAAAGGCCAGCTCCCAAAGGGGTGGCCCTAAGAGAAGGCACTTAGGAGGGAACAGGAATCAGGTGACAAGGTGGGAGTGCTCATGAAGGGGATCATCAACCTTACTTACACATGTATATCGGTCCTTTTCAGAAAACAGGTGTCATTTATTATTTCACTGATAAAGTATTCTGTGATTTTTAAATAATTACAGTTGGGTATTTTAGGTATTTCCAAAATTGTCCTTAAAACTTCCAATGAAGATGGGTGTGATGATGCACACCCATAACCCCAGTGGTTCAGGGGGGTGTCAGAAGCCCAAAGCTATGTAGCAAGACTCTGACTCAAAAAGAAGAATCTAAAAGGGGCCAGGGATACAGCTCAGTGGCTAAGCACCTCTGGGTTCCATTCCTGATACCAAAAAACCACACAACTAACATGAACCTGCCAAGTCCAGACAACAGCAACAACAAACAGTCATCCCCTGTCAATTTCATCATCTTGTCAAAGACTGTAATTAGTTTACATAAAATCACATTCATAAGTTTATCCACCGCAATTTTTGTAGAAATGAATTCATTTTCTGCAGCAATAATGGAAGAAAGAGTTTCTCTGTATCTTAAGTGGCATTCTGGAATCTAGGACATGGATTTCAATTCAAAATCATTGAAAAGACAAGATCAAATCTCACCAATTTTCTATGCATACTCAGGAGTAGCAAAAGGTAAATTAGATATTTTGTTTGTTTGTTTGTTTTTCTGTTCTGTTCTTTTTCTTTGTTTTGGGTCCAGAGATTAAAACCCAGCAGAACTTTACTAATGAGTCACATCCCAAGACATAAGGCCTGGCTAAATTGCTAAGACTGTCCTCAAGTTTACAATCCTCGTGTCTCTGCCTCTGGAACAGCAAGGATCACAGGTGTGTACCACTATTCCTGGCTGTAAATTAGAATTTTTAACAAGGAAAACATAACTATACTATTTTTTTAAGAGAGAGAGGGGTGAGAGAAAGAAAGAGAGAGAGAGAGAGAGAGAGAGAGAGAGAGAGAGAGAATTTTTTTTAATATTTATTTTTCAGTTTTCGGTGGACACAACATCTTTATTTTTATGTGGTACTAAGGATCGAACCCAGCACCCTGCGCATGCCAGACGAGTGTGTTACCCTTGAGCCAAATCCCTAGCCCAAAAATGTAACAATACTTTTAAAAATCCACTTCTTTCTTGCCTCTTTAATAATAGTTCATCCCATTTGGCTCTGAATAAATAAACCTGGGCCTCAAAAAATTGAGCAGATCATTTCAAAGTGATACACAGAAAGCTTTRGTGCTGAGGGAGCACACATGTGTCAGGCTCAAGGGGCAGGGAAGGTCCCTGACAGCTGGGACATGACCTCTCCTGGTCTTGCTTCCTGAAAGCCTCCAGGATCACCCTCCCAGGGACCTAGACCATGACTCCAGTCTACGAGGCTTTTCAGGTTTGCACAGCTCTGCACTGGGGTGGGTGTTGCTTATGCTCTGGGAGAGATTTCGCTCCTTCACACTGTGAGAGACTAAAAGGGGAGGAGTCACTGGTGACCTGGCCCCTCAGCACCAGCATCCACAGGCTGACTGGCCACCTGTCTCMAAGRAATGGGAACAGRGCTTKGGGWAAACAAGSTCCCAAGGAAGTAGCTGWCTAGATGAGGCCTGTTCCAGGAGATTCCTCAGCCCAGAGCCCCCAGCAGCTTCCCTGAGAGGCTGCACCCCACACCTCAGGCTGTCCTCTAGGAGGAGCTGACCCAGGGCCTGAAGTTCTGTTCACCCTGCAGGGACCAGGGCAGCTGTGGGCACCTTGTGGCAGCTCCAGGAGAGGACAGTGGCTGAGGACATGGGACCCTGTGAGGCGTCCAAAGGGAACCTCTGCCCAAGAAATCTGACATGGTGTCTACACCTAAGGAAGGTAAAAGGAGAAGCACAAGATTTTTACAGCTGTGAACTCACGTTCTCTATACAGTTGCATCTCCATCAAAGAACCTTCAGAGTACTTGACTAACTAGACCACCATGAGGGTGCAAAGGCAGGGTTCTGTATGGAGAGCAGAAAGTATCTTGGGCTATCTTAAGTCCTTTCATAGCCAATTATCCTAATTTCTGTATCAGACCACAATTCTCAAAACTATTAAATTTTAAACAAATGTATGATATATGCTATGTCAAGATCAATGTAATGTTTTGAGGAACTAATAAATTTCTGATGTTTAAAAAAAAAAACTAATAAATTTCCCAGAATATATCATTAACCTTACCAAACATCTAGTCCCCACCACCTACCAAAGTAAGAATGTAATAACAGGAGACAGAGGAAATCTTATTTTATTTTTCTGTAGCCCACCAGTCTAATGATCCTACCAATGCATTTGGTTAATACAGTGATACACAACTTCCTTTAAGTTCACATAGGCCAGGCACAGTGGCACACAACTGTAATGCCAGCAGCTTGAGAGGCTAAGGTAGAAGGATTGCTGAATTGAAAGTCAGCCTCAGCAACTTAGTGAGGACATAAGGAACTTGATGAGATCAAGTCTCAATATACAATCTAAAAAGGATTGATTGTGGCTCAGTGATTAAGTACCCCTGGGTTCAATCCTTGTCTTTCAGTGTGGGACACACACATCATTTAGGGTCACTTAAATCCATGTTCCTCAGTATGGTCATTAACATTTGAATCAAAATCATCTATTTTCCATAGCTGGGATTGCCAGTGTCTTTAATGTCAACAGCTTGAGAAACTGAAGCAGGAGGGTCAGGACTTATAGACCACGCTGGGCAACATAGCAAGACTCCATCTGAAAATCAAATTAAAAGAGTTGGGGATGAAGAACAGAAGAATGAATCACACACTATTATCCTATGTGCATATATGACTACAGGACTGCTGTGAATCCACATGGAGTACAACCAGAAAAAAGAGCAGTGACACTCTATTTATGTGTGCTGTGTCAAAATGCATTATAATGTCATATATAACTAATAAAAACAAATTTAAGTAAATAAACAAATTATGTAAAAGGAGGGGGGGCTGGGTATATAGCCCAGAATTCAACATTTCTAGCCTTTTTCCTTTTAAAGTAATTATTTTGACCAAACACAGGGAACTGTTAAGTGATTATTCTTTCCTCTCAAGTATAATATTCACAAATAGAAAACAAATGCTTTCAAAGTGTTCTTCTTGCCAGGGACAGTGGCACAGGCCTTGTTAGAATGGCCTTAGGCCTGAGCCTAAGCAACTCCACTTTAAAAACTTCAGTTTAACCTGCAGTTTCACCAGGCACAGCCACAGATCCCTCCAGTAAGGCCTCAAACAAGTTCCTTCCCCTCACCCTGATAAAGAGAGTGAAGCCTCTGCCAGGCTGTCCTTGCCTGATAAGAGGGAAAGGGAGAAGATCAGGGTGGAGGCCACCAGACTAGATGAAGAATGAACGTCTGGCCGAGCTGTGACGTGGAGGGAAGGTGGGTTTAGAAGGCAGGAGGCGCCTGCAATTTGGGGGACCTACAGCAGCCTCCGGAGGAGCTCCCCTGGGAGGAGGAAGGTGCATTTGTGGCCCTGCTTCCTCCACGTTGGGAAGACTGGGTCGGGCCACCAGTAGGGAGCAAAGGGGACACCAGGGAACTGAGCCACCCTTCCAAACCCAGGGAACYAGGGGACAGGGCCCAGGGCCACGCTCCAGCGGGGACTCTGCCACGCTCAGCAGCTCACCTCAAAAACCCAAAACCCAGCTCACCCCACGAGACCAAGGGACAGGGCCACGACTCCGCTGCGCTCCCCAGGTCACCCGGGCACCAGGCCCCAAGGCAGGTGGTGACTTGTACCTTCAGCCCTGGTCGCAAACTCACCATTTTTGTCTTCTGTGGTGACACGGGTCCTCCAGGCACCCGAGATGGGAGGGGGGGGACACAGGCAGCGCAGAGTCACCTGAGTCCCTGGAGCAGAGAACTCTGGGCTTGAAGGATGAGAAGCCCAATCGCTTAGGAAGAAAAGCCCGCGAGATTGCTGAAGCCCGCCCTTCCCCTCCCTCTGCGCACTGATTGGGCAGTTCCCCCAGCATCCGGGATGCACGGCCTCTAGGCCCGCCTCTGCATCGTGACTGACAGCCAGCGTCATCCAATCACTGGCTGAAATTGGGTAGAGTGACAGATTCTTGGTCCCAGCCCTTTTCAGGCGGACCTTCCCGGCTGTGCTGGGAACTAATCCAGGTGGGAAGCCTTGGCTTAGCCTTTGGTACAGAGGTGACACCTGGCGCTGAGCTAGGCTTCAGCCATAGAGTGCTTTC